AAGACAAGGATTAAAGACATAAGACGCTTGACTTTAGTAAGGTTTTATTTTTGAATTTTGAGTTGTGTGGTGATTGCAAGGGACCATCGATATAATCTCACCTAATTCTGTTAAAACTCGGGTAAGCTCTTGTAGATAGACTTTTTGTCGCTCCTGTCGATACTCTAATACTTTCAACGCTTCTATTATTTCTTTGTGATGCACATTTATACTCTTCGCTACAAGATTCCTTTTATTCGCTTGTCTGAATTTTTCAATTCTTATTATTTATGTATCTCGGGTTCTTAATTTTCGTTCAAAAACAAACCTTCGTGTCTCAATAATTACACCGGTGGCAGCTACAAAAAATACTATCAACTCGCCTAATACCTCAGTGCCCAATTCAACGGCCATTGCCTCGTTAAGTGGCTCGACCTTAGCCGGTCTGCCTAAATTTAATAGCAACATCTTTAGCCTAACTTCGCACCAGTGATAACCTTGCAGGGAACGAAGGATAAAATTGTCAAAGTCTTATTGGAAATTACACTTCCTATTTTTCAGGATTCATTTGTTGAATCAAAATGATTTTTTACATTTCTGGTACTTACATTGAGCAGCTGGCACACAAATGTAATTTCGAAAGGTTTTGCTTTGTTTTGCCTCCAAACGTATCAATTTGATAACAGGACGAGAAAGTTGCTGTATCCCCAAGAAACTTAACTTTATGATTGGCAATGTTATCAGTACCATTTTGTGTAAAATAATTTAGTGTTAAAATTTTCAAGAAAATATGTATGAAAACTTGTAAATTTTAGTCTGACAATGTATTGAAAAATAAAATAAATTGGGTAGAGACAAATTAAATTGAAGAGGGTGGAGCATGATGGTTCACATATATGTAATACTCCTATATTGGTAGTAAGAGCTAGTACCGTCCGAAAACACTACAGTACAGATATATCAATAAACACGTACGAAAGAAAAGGAACACATACGTTTATAAATAATCATGTACTAGACTGTCTCGCTTTGATATCGGAATGCTTACACATTGAGAAGTTAGCTTACTGCCAATATAGAAGTATTACATATATGATGGTTCAGCATAATTATATGGTCGTTTAAAATACAAAACCGCGTATCGTCACTCTGCAAAACCGCGCAACTGACATTTGCTGCCAAAAATTGGATTTGCTCACACAAGCTCTTGGCTCAATCCTTATCAATTCGTCCTGAAATATACTAGCCGGAAATGCGATTGGTTTATAAAAAAGAGAACCATTTTGAATTATGAGTGTTTTTACTCTCAAAAAAATAATTTATGCAACCTCACATATGGGTGTTTCCATACAGCCGTACGCGACATTCGTACGCTTATAGAGTAACGTAAATCTATCAAAAATAGAAGTTGGAGAAAAAAAAGATTACGGTTATGTTGCAACCAAAGGGTACTGTGTTTGAGAAAAAAATAAGCAGCCTCGAAACTTTGGTGTGGAAAATATCCGTTCAAAACCAGGTGATAACGTACGCGACAAAAAACGAAGTGGTTTTAAGGCACATATATGTATATATATGCGAAAGTCTGCGAATCATGAGAGTTTTTCTTTTCTTTAAAAATTCCTAAACCAAGCTAAATAATGTACCTTTACAACCCTTCCATTTTTTGATAGAAATTATCTCTGGTTAGTTTTTATTAAAAAAAATTATAATAACGTACGCGACAGATTTTTCCCCCATACAATATTTTTACTAGTAACACATACTAAATTAATTTTTCAGTTCTTCTCTCAACCGTTTCGCGTTTTCAAAACCTTTTTCCGCCATCTGAATACGAAATTTAAAGTTATAAAGCCGTTTGAATTCATTTGCTTGCATTTTCGGTTTACATTTTCATGGAAACACGCATATATGCGAAAGTCTGCGAATCATGGCAGTTTTTCTTTTCTTTAAAAATTCGTAAACTAAGCTAAATAATGTACTTTTACAATCCTTTCATATTTTAAGAGAAATTATCTCTAGCTAGTTTTATATTAAAAAACAAAAACAATAACGGACGCGACATAACGTACGCGACAATTTCTCGTAAGTAATAAAATGTATTTATTGTGAACTCTATTCGCCACCGTTTTTTTGTTTTACAACTATTCTAAATAATTTAAATGGAAAATTTGCAATTAACATTGGTTTTGATGTATTTGATTGAAATTTTCGTACTTACAATAACGTATGCGACAAACCTTAAAGGGTAATAAAATTTTTTTACTTCGGTTGGAAAGAAAATTTTACTGTATATCTTTAACTAGAAGAATTCCCGCTTAAGAATTTTAATCTGCATTACCTGCAACTGCCAATCTACAAATGACATAGACAAACAATGTTTTTGCATAACGTACGCGACATTAGAATACTATCAGAAGCAAATCAAAAAATTACCGTTATTCGAGCTCTAACTTCTCCTTTTTCTCATTTTTATAGTTAGTTGTTATTGCAAATTTGATTTTAAGATGTAATTGTAATGTTTCAAATCTCTTAATTTAGTTAATAGGAAAGAGAAAATAGTTCATTTCATTAGAGAAAACTGAGTCGAAGAGACATTCAGTTTTACTCTTCCATTTTTGAGTTTTAAAATTCCAATAAGCTGAAATACTTCTATAATATAAAAATTCGAGTATTTTTCTCTTATTAATTCGTCTTAAAAACCCTTTTCAGTTGTTTTTATTTTTTCAGTCCTGGTTGACATTTTCATGGAAACACCCATATGCGGTTTTGCATTTTGCATTTTGTTGATATGCGATACGGTACTTTAAACGACGATAAAAATCATAGCGGTTGAGTAAGACTGCTTTTACACAGTTCAAGTATTGAATTCAATTCTGCTCGGGCATGGAAGAGAGGGGGTGAGAAGAAAAGGGACGAGTACACATGCGTCTGTACCGTCAAGTCGTTTCAACTTTCTTGCTTTGCTTTTGGCATTTTCGTTGCTTCCCATTTAAAGAACCAAAAACTTGAGCTCAACAGAATTGAAACGTGTAAAAGCAAATAGAAAACACAAAAGAGAATGAGCAAGAATTGCTTTCAAGTACTTGAATCGTGTAAATCGGGTGTAACTTGAATAAGGAACTTGGGATATAGCTCAACGTTTTAAAACAAGATAAGTTTTTCCGCGAAACTTCTGTCTACTTTCTGATTTCTATGGTTAATATGAGGACGCTCCACTGGTTTGCCCAGAAAGGAAAAAAGAGGTTTTTAAAGATTATGTTAAGAGAAAGGACACATCCACCTAGTTTTCCAAGGGCGTCAATGATTGCTTGCCGGTGGAATGCAGATGTATTTGCGGAAAGCATTATTGTTGTGTGCAATACTAACAAAAAGTCTGGGTGGGGTTTAGTAGCGCTCACAACTATTTCGGGCTATTCCGTCCAATCGGGTCACCCGATCCAAAAAAAAATTCCACACACTTAGAGTCAAGGGTCTACGCTTTAGTTTAACACTCACTTTTGTAAATTTTGGTCACTAATTTATTTACAAATTGGGTTGGAATTATGTCCTTTTTGTAAAATTCGGAAATTAGCGTACATTTATCACTCCTATTCTCCTTAAAGCAACCACTTCACCAATACATTTTTGTATTCCCCTTCACTTTACACTTCACTCGATTAGTTATAACTTGCTTTACGACTTTAATATTAATCAACTAATCACAATTCATTAAATAAAAACACTTTCAAAATCACGCGTCTGACTTTGGTTGCATATGCTGATTAAGGGCCGGTTGTTCAATGTCTGATTAGCACAAATCGGAGGTAGAAGCTCCGGTTAAGCACAACTACTGCTTTAAGGCTCTGTTATGCATACTTGGCATTGCATGCACTGCTATACCATTTTTACGTAGAAATCAAAAACCAACAGACTTCTACGTATGTAGTGCTGTGCGTTCGATAACCGATTACACGCGAGGCTCATTTAACAGATTTCTTATGTGACAGCTCTCAAGCCATGCCAAGTATGCATAACGGAGCCTTTATCGATCACATGTTACATGCATGATGTCGAAATCGTCGATAGTGTAGTGGTAGTGATAACCAGACATTGAACAACCGGCCCTAAATGGCGGAGTTCAGTTGTCAAACTCCAAAATATGCAAAAGAATGAGAGACAAAAGAAGATAGGATATAACCCAGAAGCATTAAAAATATGCAAAGGTGTTCTCTGCAAAAGGTGTTCAGCCCCCCCTCTTTGGCAACACAGAAAGGGGAATTCTACTGCCTGAGGGTTATAATCCCTAAGTTCGGCGAAGGCCGCCTACGCAGAATGGTGTTCTCTGCAAAAGGTGTTCAGCCCCCCATCTTTGACAGCACAGAAAGGAGAATTCTACTGCCTGAGGGTTATAATCCCTAAGTGCGGCCGAAGGCCGCCTACGCAGAAAGGACGCAAAAATACATATGTTAAAAAGAACATTTTTTTTTATAAAAACTTGTTTTTTTCTATTTATAATTAACTTTTTTATTCTTTATTCAAAATCGCCCGATATCTAATTTGGCATAATTTCTTTTATTAAACAATCCCACGTTTTCTGTTAGTTGGGTCATATTCCACTTCAAACTGCTCAGTTTGCCTGTTTCTGTTTTTTCCCCTTTTTCAAACGGTTCCCTAGGGGACTGTGGAAGGAGCCCAAGGGGGGAATACGCCTTTTTAGAAAGCGGGACTGTCCCCTTTCTAGTGGGGAGGGTTTGGGGGTCTCCGCCCCAACCCTAAAAACGATGTGAGCGCTACTAAACATTACCCAAAAGTCTTTTAACATGCTGAGTAAATTCTTTTAGAACAATTATCGACATTCGCAGTATTCTCAATGTTAACAACACCATAACTGAAGCACTAAAATTAAACTAAAGAAGTTAATAACGTATTAACTAGTAATTTTTAGCAAAAAAAAAAACGGACTTCAACTCCCATATAAAAAAAAAATATATATATATATATCTCATGATCCACTGATCGGATCTCAACCAGATTAGTATGGGACCACCTCTGAGACACTACCTTTCCGATGCAAAAAGAATTATCGAAATCGGTTGACGTGGTCCAAAGTTATGCGGTAACATACATAAAAAAAAAAAT